ACTCGTGGCTGTTGGTGTGTGTGTAAGTGTGGGTTTTTGGGTGTGCGTGTGGGTGTGTGGGTGTGGATGTGGGTGTGGGTGGGTGTGGGTGTGGGTGGGTGTGGCTGTGGCTGTGGCTGTGGGTGTAGGTGTAGGTGTGGGCGTGGGGTGTGGGTGGGTGTGGGAGTGGGTGTCGGTCTCTCCTTCTTCCTCATCCATATCCACACCCACACCCACACCCAAATTATACTTTGAGCTTTGAAAATTCTGAGCATACCGTTGGATAGAGCTCATAGAGTTCTATCTTGGTCCATCGTTGGTCTAGTCTGGTCCACTTCCTAGGCGAATCTATTCAGAAAATACTCGAATTCTGACCTAAGATATCCTACGTTAATATTTTTATTTCTTTGAAAATTAAAAGTTTGTCACATTCAATTGAGTAACCTCGACGTGACTTACTGAGAAAGATAAGAACGATCGTTTGCATCTCATCCATCTTCCAGAGGTATATAGGGCCTTGTTCTTTTTTCAGTTCTTCACCTACCAAACTGCGATAAGAATGATAGTTCACATTGCATTCACTTGCTCGAGATATACAACAACAATATTTTAGGTGATGTACTTCTTCGAATTTTTTCGTATAGTACTTATACTTGTATTGGCTTTTGCTGCTTCGTATGCTAATGAAAAAACTCATCCAACGATTGGAGTTATTCGCTGGGATGCTTGGAACTTGTTCAACGATCAATACGATCCCATCTCCTTCTATTCTCATCGATGTCTGAGTCCCGAAAAGTTTCATTATCGATTACCATTTTTTGCAACGGTTCTTTCACCTACAAACACTTCATACAATGAAGATCTACAGAGTGTGATGGATCAAGAGATACTTTATGCAAAGCATGCAGGTCTTGACTATTGGGCTTTCGATACATATTGTACATATGGACCCAATTGTACTACCAATTCCACATATTGTGTTGAATATTTACAGATCGCACCTCATTATTGTCCTCGAAATCCTGCATATGGCTTGCATCAATACCTTTCGAGTCAATATAACTCTTTAATAAAATTCACCCTTCTCTTATTAGGTTCTTCTCCTTGTGACGTTGCTTTTCAAGAGGGTTATCTCGAACTTATGGTGCATCCTCAGTTTCAAACTGTTTTAGGAGGTCGTCCACTTCTGTATTTATTTCAATTTACCGATGTTGAAGCCAATCTTTGTGGAGGTGGATGGTCTGGAAGTAGACAAGTATTCGACAAGTTTCGCCAGATGGCCACAAATCGAGGTGAATTATAGCAATATAATCATAAATATCTCTTGTATAGGAGAGAATGTCTTACGATGTAGAATAGAAAAGTTCTTCCAATAGAAAAAAGGAAACATTATTTTCACTCTTGAAATATATTGCTTATTAAGGGAGACTTCCTCAGAAAAGTCGATTTTTTGAGAAAAATTCTATGTATACACTGATGCCTATTCTAATAACCTTGACATAGATTTGAAGTTTGCAATTTTTTTTTGTCAAGAGAAAAAGACTCGCTATTTTCCTGATGAGCTTTTTGCGGTAGGTCTCCTAGCTGATTAATAAGAATTTTGCATGCTACGGAAAGTTGCATTTTTGCAATGCATTTTACGCGGGCAAATCTTTCTCAATAATGACTCTATATAAAAGTGGTAACTTTTTTTTATTATACAGAAGAGAACTATGGCTAGGTCATAATAGAGCCCGATTTTTGAATTTCTCTTTTGCTGAAATAAAAAACTTACATCTTTGAACTTAATTAACGATTTTTTGGTCACGAGTTTGAGAATTTTTTAGAAAGTATTTTTTTAAAAACGAAGCAAAAAGAGATTAAAAAATCTAGCTCTATTACGACCTAGACCTAAGGGTATCCAACAATTTAAAAATCATCCGACATGCTTAGCTTGTATCCTCATTTTGAAAACCTTGCCCGTGCAAAGTCTATTTTTGTTCAATGAATGACTATAACTCGTGAGTTTCTCGCAGGTTCGAGGAGATATTTTAACCATAATCTATTCTAGTCAAGACTAACATTCTCTGAAATTTTGGCTGAATTCCATGGAAAAATAGAAAAGTTCGTTTGTGAGTCCCCCCTCCCTTTAATTTGATTTGTTTATCACAGGACTAAAAAATCCATACATAGTTCTGATGGACTTTTTGGTTCCAACTGTGCAATCTCATGCTGCCCTTCTCGGATTCGATGCAATTTCGATGTACGCGTTACCAGGTGGAACCAAAGAAGTAGATATATTGATCTGTAATAGCGTAGACTAATAATTTAATCGATTTCAGGGCTCGCCGTTCATCGATCTTGTTCATGTTGCTCAACAGTAAGTGGTTTGCATTTCGCGAATATTTCTTAACGAATTTATATGTAATTAGGTGGTGGCAATCTGCTAAGGACGTCAAAGCAAAACTTGTACCGATCGTTCCTACTGGTTGGGATGCTCGACCACGGTATGAGAATCCTGTACCATGGCTCTATGAAGGACCAGAACATTACTTTCAACCTACCGGCGAAGAATTGCAACAATTCTTTAGAACAGCAATCAACTTCACTTGTCAATACAATGAGACTGTTGAAGCACAGACAACACTCGTTTATGCATGGAATGAAAATAGCGAAAATGGTGCTTGCCTTATTCCTACCATCGGAAATGGTACTTTCTACGTTGATACTTTATCGAAGATACTTCCATTGTATTGTTAATCAGAATTCTATATAGGCACGTTCTCGAAAAACCTATCAACAGTGATTGTCTTTTTTTTTCACAAAACATTTCAAATGATTAGTTATGTATTCTTTATAATCTTTATTTTGCGAAATAAAGAAAAATCATGGTCGTGTTACATCAAATAATAAAGTTATAAACATATCAAAGTTAGTATGATTAAAGTCCGTCGTTGGTTCAAGCATATGAAATCCATTTCGAAAAAAATATCCACTGATATTTGCTGCTACATCAAGTCAGACAAATAAAGCCGGATGTGTCACTGTAATTGTAATACTAATATCTGTTGATGTTAATTGTTGGATAGTTTGAATATGAAGATTTGGTTAATAAAATTCATAAATTTTCGGTTGTGTTGAAAATGATGTTTGTCCGATTTCTGCATGATTAGTATTAAACTGACAATGAAAAAGACATTGGTTACTATTCAAACAACCAGCATTTCTCATTAATGTTGAATATGCAAGATCAATAACATGGTGCAAAGCAGGTGAATCGAAAGAAACATCAAATACAAATAATGATCGAATAGAAAATGTATTTAATGAAAGAAATGTACAAATTAAATGGCCAGTAGCACCATTGAAAAGTTCATTAATAACATAAAGTGAACTTCGAGCATTATCATCTGTTACATTCGCTAGATGAGGTGTGAGCATAGCTACTGGATAGATAGATTCATACATATATTGAACATAATAATGACTCATTTTCCATTTTAATCTATATTCAATTGTTGATGGAGTTGGTGCTTGACAAATGTCATCAATTTGCCAATACATAAGTCCCAGAGTGTGACTATGAAGAGAATAAATATGATGAATAAATTATTATGAAAAACAGATTTACCCTTGACTTGTTTTTCGATCAATCCTATTAACTGACAAATGAACTCGACACCAATCATTGATACTTTTCAATGTTATTGCTCGATTTATTTGACTTAGATAAATCATTTGAGTAAAATTTTTCAATGAATCATTCGTTACTGGTATTGATAAATTACTTTTTATTTGATATCTCAATTGAAAAAAAAAGTATGTATAACAGGCTAAGAAATCTATGATTAACATAGGGTGTGGGTGTGGGTGTTGATATGGATGAGGAAGAAGGAGAGACCCACACCCACACCTACATCCACCTAATAGCTTGCCAATATTAATTTAACGAATTCAATCTTCATATCGAACATATCAATATTGTGTTTGAAGAGAACAAATAAAATTTCAAACTTCTGGGTTATTTAATATTTCAGCGAGAAAAGAAATGGTTAACAAATACTTTCGTTAAACTAAACGATTGAAAACAAACGAAAACGTCGAAAAGTTTAATAAATAGTAGAACATAGAGAATGAAATAATCCCAAAATTGAATAGTCCCCACATTACAATTTATATTTTGGAAGAACAACTTTTTGGATTATTTATGAGCATGCGCAACATAATATAAGCATATTACAGATTAAAACACTAATGGCGCTTTATGTTTCTCTATATAATATTCCATAAGGTCGAACATCTTGTGAATTCTGACATACCCATACATTTCTACCATGTTTCACTATAGAACTATTTTTAATTCTCATTTGAAACATAACCTGATATTGTCCACCATTGTATGGTGTAGGTCTAGAGTAACTAGGACTACCGGAGTATGATGGATTAGGTGATCAATATATGCCATGTCCATAAACAGCACCATTAGCTACACCTAC